CCACAAAAAACCTATGGGAATCCCGCAATCCCTCTCCTACCTTACTTCCCCTAATCCCAGCCACTTTTCTGTTTCCTGTTCTGATCCTAGATGGAAATGTGGCAAGTTACAGGGATAGAAGTTTCTGTACTCTCTCATGTCTTCACCTTTTACAGTCTGAGTAATAACCTTCTCATAGCCCTGCTCCATATCTGGATGGGACGGTCATCATGGGAATGAAGAGTGGTTTTGTCCCATCTAGCATTGCCCAAAGTACCGGTACTGCAATTTGAGTACTGGTGACATGTGGCCTCTTCTCCCCTGAACGGATAAAAGAAACCTCAAGAAAAGAGATCTGGCTCTCTTGCAGCAACTAAGTTAACATCTGTGTATTTACTGTGGGTGGAGAGAACCATCTGGAAAGACCCTTACGAAGCAGTTAAACGGGTATTGTGTGGCACAAATGCTTTTCTTTCTCACTTTGTGGGTGACAAGAAAGGAGGGGAGTAACCATTAAAAACAACAACTTTCAATGGGACTTGCTCAGGGCTGTTGAGGTGACAGGGAGTGTGGTATAGAAATGTTGAAATAAATAAACAGAAACCATCTGGGAGCTCTCAGTGGGTTGCTTGTGATGGGCCCCAGCTCCATCTACCGCTGCCCCAAATAGGGGCTGGGAAACAATCCTCTCTGAAACTCCAAGACCCACTGCTAGTCGTGGTAGACAACACCAAAGTAGATGGGCCTTTGGTTTGACTCAGTATAAGGAAACTACCTAAAGGAGTGTCTCCACCCCCATCGTTCAGCCCGGACACTGAGATCCAGCTCCGAGGGCCTTCTGGCGGTTCCCTCACTGTGAGAAGTGAGGTAACAGGGAACCAAGCAGAGGGCCTTCTCAGTAGTGGCACCCACCCTGTGGAACGCCCTCCCATCAGATGTCAAGGAAATAAACAACTGTCTGACTTTTAGAAGACATCTGAAGGCAGCTCTGTTTAGGGAAGTTTTTAGTGTCGGGTGTTTTATCGTGTTTTTAATATTCTGTTGGGAGCTGCCCAGATTGGATTCTAGAGAAAAGTTGGAAACTCTTGGAAACGGCTGAAGCTATGTGGTTTACTGCATGCGTTCAATGTAAATGATCCCAGGTTCAATCCCTGACAAGGCTCCTCTCTGAAACCCTGGAAAGCCATTGCCAGCCGATGTAAACCAAGGAAGGAGAACCTGTCCCCCCCCATATGTTGTTGGGTTCCAACTCCCATCAGCTGGACCTGACCAATGATGATGGGGAGTTGGCCTCCAACAACATGCAGAGGGTGACAAGGTCCCAGCCCCTGGTGTGGCCCATACTGAGCTAGATAGACTAATGGTCTGACATGGTTTAAGGAAGCTTCTTATCTTGCCCAAAAAGGTTTCATCTAGATCACAAAACTCTCCTATTCTGCCTTGGTCATATCCCACCTGCAGTACTGTGTCCAATTCTGGGCGCCACAATTTAAGAAGGATGCTGACAAGCTGAAACAGGTGCAGTGGAGGGCAACCAAGATGATCAAGGGTCTGGAAACCAAGCCTTTATGAGGAACGGTTGAAGGCGCTGGGTATGTTTAGCCTGGAAAAGAGGAGACTGAGAAGGAGATATGATAGACATCTTCAAATATCTCAAGGGTTGTCACATGGAAGAGAGAACAAGCTTGTTTTCTCCTGCTCTGGAGGGTAGGACTCGAACCAATGGCTTCAAGTTACAAGAAGGAAGATTCCAGCTAAACATCAGGAAAAGACTTTATGACAGTAAGAGCTGTTTGACCATGGAACAGTCTCCCTCAGGAGGTTGTGGACTCTTCTTCCTTGGAGCTTTTAAAGCAGAGATTGGCTGGCCATCTGTCATGGATGCTTTAGCTGAGATTCCTGCATTGCAGGAGGCTGGACTAGATAATGTTCAAGGTCCTTTCAACTCTACGATTCTATGATTCTAAGAATTGTAAGTCTTAAGTTGTTGGTTTCTTTTAATGCAATTAAACAACAATGTTTGAAAATCTAGTACAGAAAAAATTCACTTGAAAAAAAACCCTATTGATGCAGACAGGTCTGGCATAGTTTAGCCCTGCTTTGTGTTGATGTGGGAGAAATGGCATTCTCAAGAGAGTGATGAAGACCATGCCTGCGTTGTGGGAGAACAGTTTGGGGCAATGGTGGTTCACAATGCATTTTATGACCGGCAGCCCCCTCCTTGCGAGCCTCAGCCCATTTGCACCCCCACATATCAGAAAAAGAAGAAAGAAAAAGTATTACTCCATATAAAACTAACATTGTTTTTCCCCACCAAAAGCCTTTACAGAGGTTCGTTTTATTGCACAATAAATGCGCAGCTGCTGGTTGCCTTTTCCAGATGTCTTTTCCCCAGGCATGACTTCAGTTGCTGAGCTATCACATCTTGAAAGCCTCCTTGCTTTCACTCACTTGAGCTGTTCCAGGGCAATAGGGCTCTGTTTTGGATTGGGCCTCACCATCTTCCCCGGTCCGCCTCCATTACAATCTCAGGCGCGACTGGTGATATTTCACACCTATGTTTTTTAACAGTATTTCTCTCCCCTAGATGTATGGAAGTGAGAGCTGGACCATAAAGAAGGCTGATAGTTGATGCTTTTGAATTCTGGTGCTGGAGGAGACTCTTGAGAGTCCCATGGACTGCAAGAAGATCAAACCGATCCATTCTGAAGGAAATCAGCCCTGAGTGCTCACTGGAAGGACGGATCCTGAAGCTGAGGCTCCAATACTTTGGCCACCTCATGAGAAGAGAAGACTCCCTGGAAAAGACCCTGATGCTGGGAAAGATGGAGGGCACAAGGAGAAGGGGACGACAGAGGACGAGATGGTTGGACAGTGTTATCGAAGCTACCAACATGAGTCTGACCAAGCTGCGGGAGGCAGTGGAAGACAGGAGTGCCTGGCATGCTCTGGTCCATGGGGTCACGAAGAGTCGGACACGACTAAACGACTAAACAACAACAGCAGCAGCAGCAGCAGCAGCAGCAGCAGCAGCAGTAAAGCTCTGCTGGATGAAGTACAATTTCCTCTGGTTTTCATGTTCGAGATACAGGAAGGACCTCTCACAGAAGAGAACTAGACTCCATCCGTTATCAGCTGTGGTCGCTGTTGTCTCCTGCAGACTGATGGGTTACTTGCATATTGCCAAGAGAAGGTGTAGGGGAAATTGGCAGCTATCTATTATACTGGATTTTGACACATCCGGCCAAGGACCACATCAACATATTATGTTGATCACATTTTTTAAAGGGGTGTGCAGCGCTAACACTTTTATTCTGAAGTCCAAGCAACTGCAGGGGCCCCCAATCTGGCGCCATGCACTCTTGCACTGGTTTCCCACTGCAAATCACAAACCGTTTCCCTACCCAGCTGCTATTTCCTCCAGAATGTGCAGATTATTAATAATAACGATTTTATTATTTATATGCCGCCCATCTGATTGGGTTGCCCTAGCCACTCTGGGTGGCTCCCAACAAAAGACAGTTGTACCTTGGAAGACGAATGCCTTGCGACTCAAATGCTTTGGCTCCAGAACGCCGCAAACCCAGAAGTGAGTGTTCCGGTTTGTGAACGTTCTTTGGAAGCCGAATGTCCGACACGGCTTCCGATTGGCTGCAGGAGCTTCCTGCAGCCAATCGGAAGCCACGCCTTTGTTTCTGGACATTTTGGAAATCGAACGGACTACCGGAATGGATTCCATTCGACTTCCGAGGTACCACTGTACTGAAAACACAGCAGAACATCAACCATTAAAAACTTCCCTGAACAGGGTTGCCTTCAGAGGTCTTCTTAAAGTTAAAGCATTGTTTATTTCTTTGACATCTGATGGGAGGGCGTTCCACAGGGCAGGCACCACTACCGACAAGGCCCTCTGCCTGGTTCCCTGTAACCTCACTTCTCACAACGAGGGAACCACCAAAACGCCCTCGGAGCTGGACCTTGGTGTCTGGACTGGACAATGGGGATGGAGATGCTCCTTCAGGTATACAGGGCTGAGGTCATTTAGGGCTTTAAAGGTCAAGACCAACACTTTGAATTGTGCTTGAAAATGTACTGGGAGCCAATGTAGGTCTTTTAGGACCTGTGTAATATGGTCCCAGTAGTCACTCCCAGTCACCTGTCCAGCTGCCATATTCAGGATCACAGTAAACAGGGGTCCAGATTGACTAACATGCGTGTATGTAACTGTTTTTCTCTGTTCTTATACAACCAGGGCACATGCAAGCACTCTCCTTTGAGGAATCCTTAGAGGCAAATGTTTATTTTAAGTGTGACACGTAAATAGTGTGTACACTTAATGCTCACCCAGGTTGAAGGAGGAGCTGGGTACCCAGTTTAGCAGTGCCCTAGTTGCTAGAGTAGGGACATGTAGATTAGAGTAGAGTAGAGTAGGGACGCGAGTGGCGCTGTGGGTTAAACCACAGAGCCTAGGACTTGCCAATCAGAAGGTTGGTGGTTCGAATCCCCGTGACAGGGTGAGTTCCCGTTGCTCGGTCCCTGCTCCTGCCAACCTAGCAGTTCGAAAGCACGTCAAAGTGCAAGTAGATAAATAGATACTGCTCCATCGGGAAGGTAAACAGCGTTTCCGTGTGCTGCTGTGGTTCGCCAGAAGTGGCTTAGTCATGCTGGCCACATGACCCGGAAGCTGTACGCCGGCTCCCTCGGCCAGTAAAGCGAGATGAGCACCGCAACCCCAGAGTCGGTCACGACTGGACCTAATGGTCAGGGGTCCCTTTACCTTTACCTTTACCTAGTTGCTAGAGTAAGACACTGTTTCTTGTGCCTGCATTGGGAGATAAGCATTTTCACAAAACAAGATATATTTTATTACTCCTAATTATATGTCAGCTGTGATATTAACTCCTACTACCACACAGGGGTTATTTTAGGCAGTGAGGATGTTGCGGGGGGGAACTACCTTACAACTCTATGAGCAGCTTAAAAAAAGGATGTGAAACTACTTGTGCATTTGTTCCTCTCAGGTATCTGGTGTTCATTTGACTTGTGAAGAAGAAACGGTTTGTGCTTCTGTCCATTGCAAAATGTCTCATCCTGTGCTCCCATGGAGCATAACATCCCAACATGTATATCTGCAGTTTACTAGACTTTATAGTGCTCTTATCAGTGTGCTAGCACAGACCTTTTGTGGAATGGGGGGTGAGGGAATTGTATATAATGTGCCTCGCTGATTTCCCATCTCTTGAAATCTCATGGTTCCTCTCTCCTGCCTCTGCCTCTCTCTCTTTAAAAAAAGTTATTTTCCTCTCTCTTGTTGATTTCATATGAGTGATTGCTTTAATTTATTCCCCTTGCAATGGCCTGCACCACCGCTACTCTCAGGGATTGACGATGTATATTGTCTACCTTTCTGGGCTATTTTGCTCCAGAGAGGATACAGAGATGCCGTTAAAAAAAGAAAGGGAAAAAGCCTGTACGATGTTGCATTGTGCGTAAGAAAGAGGTGAGCAGGGATACAGGGTGAGTTATTCATAGCATCTGTTTCTCAGGCAGGGCGGAGACCAAACATCACCTCGCTACAAGCTTCAGAATTGGAGTCACATAGGGTCAAGGGGAGCTGAAACACTCACACGCCTATAATCTCTTAAGTGCTACAAAAAAAAATGAAATAAAGCAAAATAAATAAACAATCCTTTCAGGCATTGCAGAAAATCTGCTGAGCACAGATCGTGAAACCCTGTTGGGAAATAACACTTGTTCTCAGAAAAGCAGTAATTTATTTCCCGTGCTCTTCAGAGATGGTAGCATTGTGGGAAAGTAGAAATGTTGTACGCCTCATGCACAGGACCCGTTCCTAGAAGGAGTTTAACCCACCCATTCAACGATATTATCAATACCGTATCCCTGTGGGGAATGAAATCTCAGAGGTTCCCCAAGTATCACCCACTGCTTTGAGGGTCTACCAATATTGTAAGTGTTATGTACTGAGTTGAATAGGATCCAGAATGCAGCAGTCTGATTGGTCCTAGAACAATAGGATCCCGAATGCAGCAGTCTGATTGGTCCTAGAACAATAGGATCCCGAATGCAGCAGTCTGATTGGTCCCAGAGCAATAGGATCCCGAATGCAGCAGTCTGATTGGTCCTAGAACAATAGGATCCAGAATGCAGCAGTCTGATTGGTCCTAGAACAATAGGATTCAGAATGCAGCAGTCTGATTGGTCCTAGAACAATAGGATTCAGAATGCAGCAGTCTGATTGGTCCTAGAACAATAGGATCCAAAATGCAGCAGTCTGATTGGTCCTAGAACAATAGGATCCAAAATGCAGCAGTCTGATTGGTCCTAGAACAATAGGATCCCGAATGCAGCAGTCTGATTGGTCCTAGAACAATAGGATCCCGAATGCAGCAGTCTGATTGGTCCACAGGAGCCACCCAATCCAGCTCCAAATGGAAGTGAATCTGCAACCTGATTGGCCTACAGGAGAATGCCGGAATTAGCCAATCATGTGGGGCCCATTGTGTAAATAATGTATATAAAGCAGACATTCTGGGGGAACTTCCATTCCTCCTCACCACTATGAGCTGAATAAAGAGCATGAAATCCTCTCTCGACTCTGAGTATATTTCAGTAAGGCACTAGGAAAACCCATACCCGCTACCCTGCGGGATATTTTTGGGAGAAGAAAAGCAACACAAATCCAAAGCAGAGTCCCAAAGATGGTTGGATGGAGTCTTGTATACTTCTTCCAGATACTCCTGCAGCCAAGCTGGTGTAAAATGTATTGATCTGCTTTCCTCTGGAGCACATCAGTGAGGCCGAGAGGAGGGTGGGTCTTGCTGTCTGGGCAGCTCAGGACCTCCATACACACTGCCCAGGCTTGCGTCCCAGGAAGGTCACTTTGGTGCCACTAACACAGCAAAAGCAACATGAGAAGCAGTTACGAGTTGCCAGTCTCTACAGCCACTGTGATTCTCCAGCGATTTGACTTCACCCCTGGAGGTGCACTCCGCTGTCTCTCAAGACGCCGACGAAGCAGGCGGCTTTGTAGCAAGGAAAAAGAGCCCTGCTAAATTTGACCAAAACCTTAATTACTACTGTGGGAAGGTTAAGGATAGTAGGAAAGGATATACAGTGGTACCTTGGGTTACAGACGCGTCAGGTTACAGACGCTTCAGGTTACAGACTCTGCTAACCCAGAAATAGTACCTTGGGTTAAGAACTTTACCTCAGGATGAGAACAGAAATCACGCAGCGATGGTGCAGCAGCAGCGGGAGGCCCCATTAGCTAAAGTGGTACCTCAGGTTAAGAACAGTTTCAGGTTAAGAACGGACCTCCAGAACGAATTAAGTTCTTAACCCAAGGTACCACTGTACTGGATAAATATTATCCTTCCTTCACTCATGCTAGTGAGTGATGTAGCAGAGCAGATTAGATTCCCCTCAATATAGCAGGAAGCTAGTTTGCAGATTCGTTTGAATCTCTTTAGTTAAGTAATCCAATCTGGCTTGCTCAGATGGACTATTCCTGGTGTCCCCTTTCATCCTTCTGAAGAGAATAAAGACTTTTTCCTTAAAAGTAACAAGAAGTTTACTCACATTTCAGTACACGATTTGATCCCTGAAAGGCAGGCTTTACTTAGTAGTTACATAACAATCTGTGAGTTCATCTCACATGGAGATTGAACTTATGTGCTGCTGGCTGAGAGCCAGCAGACAGCAAACTTACATTGTTGTTGTTGTTGTTTAGTCGTTTAGTCATGTCCGACTCTTCGTGACCCCATGGACCAGAGCACGCCAGGCACTCCTGTCTTCCACTGCCTCCCGCAGTTTGGTCAGACTCATGTTTGTAGCTTCGAGAACACTGTCCAACCATCTCGCCCTCTGTCGTCCCCTTCTCCTTGTGTCCTCCATCTTTCCCAACATCAGGGTCTTTTCCAGGGAGTCTTTCTTCTCATGAGGTGGCCAAAGTATTGGAGCCTCAGCTTCAGGATCTGTCCTTCCAGTGAGCACTCAGGGCTGATTTCCTTAAGAATGGAGAGGTTTGATCTTCTTGCAGTCCATGGGACTCTCAAGAGTCTCCTCCAGCACCATAATTCAAAAGCATCAATTCTTCGGTATTCAGCCTTCTTTATGGTCCAGCTCTCACTTCCATACATCACGACTGGGAAAACCATAGCTTTAATTATACGGACCTTCGTCGGCAAGGTGATGTCTCTGCTTTTTAAGATGCTGTCTAGGTTTGTCATTGCTTTTCTCCCAAGAAGTAGGCGTCTTTTAATTTCGTGGCTGCTGTCACCATCTGCAGTGATCATGGAGCCCAAGAAAGTAAAATCTCTCACTGCCTCCATTTCTTCCCCTTCTATTTGCCAGGAGGTGTTGGGACCAGTGGCCATGATCTTCATTTTTTTTATGTTGAGCTTCAGACCATATTTTGCGCTCTCCTCTTTCACCCTCAATAAAAGCTTCTTTAATTCCTCCTCACTTTCTGCCATCAAGGTTGTGTCATCTGCATATCTGAGGTTGTTGATATTTCTTCCGGCAATCTTAATTCCGGGTAGGGATTCATCCAGCCCAGCCTTTTACATGATGAGTTCTGCATATAAGTTATATAAGCAGGGAGACAATATACAGCCTTGTCGTACTCCTTTCCCAATTTTGAACCAATCAGTTGTTCCATATCCAGTTCTAACTGTAGCTTCTTGTCCCACATAGAGATTTCTCAGGAGACAGATGAGGTGATCAGGCACTCCCATTTCTTTAAGAACTTGCCATAGTTTGCTGTGGTCAACACAGTCAAAGGCTTTTGCATAGTCAATGAAGCAGAAGTAGATGTCTTTCTGGAACTCTCTAGCTTTCTCCATAATCCAGCGCATGTTTGCAATTTGGTCTCTGGTTCCTCTGCCTCTTCTAAAACTTACATTAAGAGAAGAAAATGGCTGCAGGAGAGCAGCAAGTGAGAGATCAAGCAAGAGAGAGATCGAGAGAGAGAAAATGGCTGCGTGACTCGATCACGCAGATCACGCAGATCACATGCAGTGGGAGGATGCTCCAGACCAGTGGAACAGGAAGTTACACTGACTGGATGTCCCCTTGCCTGTGCCCACTCTAGGGAAATAAGGAATGTTGTACTTGACTGTTCCAAAGGATCATATCCCACAACTACATGATCCTGTGAGCTGCAGCAGCCAGCTCTTATAATTTCTTCTCTACTTTTTGATTGTAATTTGAAGTTAAGTCTTCAAGCTGCTTCACATTTTGTTGTCTTACTTCTTTTCATAGCTGTCAACTTACAGATTTGAAAATAAGGGACCAGCAGCCTTGAAAATAAGGGACCAGCAGCCAAAATAAGGGACCTGCAGCCTCACCTGTTCCAGGCACTCCATGGACTTCCTGTCCTCTTGCAGTCTGGTCAAACTCATGCTGGTAGCTTCGAGAACACTGTCCAACCAACTTTGTAACCAGAGGTTCAACTGAATAGAATCTGAATCACATGCACCACAAGGCCTATGCAGCCTCAACTTAAGATGGCTCCCCAGCCTGGCTTTGCACTGCAAAGTTTGTGGTAGCACGTGCAACAATATGGCATCCAGCATTCAAAACCCCCTCTCAGCTTGCATTAACTAGCCACACACAAGGCATGCAAGCTCCACCCCCCAGTCGTTCTTAGACTTCTTATTGGGTGAGCAACACAGCCAAGCAACACAGTTGGAGCCTCCCTCCTCCCTAGCCGGCAGGGAGGGAGGGAGAGGAGCTGCTTCCTTTGAAATTTAAGGGACATCATTTAAGGGACATTTAAGGGACATCCATCAATAAGGGACAGCAGCGGGACATGGCGCTGGAATAAGGGACTGTCCCTTCAAATAAGGGACACTTGCCAGCTATGCTTCTTTTTTTATCACCGTTGGCTTTTAAAAAACCAGATTTTTTAAAATTTTGCAAAGCACCTTGACAACTTTTGTTAGAGGGCAAGCATATAAGTAGAAACAATTAAAAAACACACAAATATTTACCCATCTAACCAATTCCCCCTAAATTGTGGCTATGTAATGTTGACAATGACAAAGAGAGAGCCAAAAGCCTCATAAACTGAAGCTTATTTAACATGGGAGAAAAGGCTCATGTATGTCAGAGATCTGGCAAGTACTTTCAGTGATGCATTTCAGCTGGCAATTAAAAACATTTCTGTTCACCCAGGCAATTGCAGCTTGTTGACTGCTGCCTCATTTGCTCTTTGTTTACTGTGTTTATCCTGTGATTTATGCTTTGTATATTTTGATGTGGTGTAATGAAGCTTATGATATTGTTTAAATTATTTGCTGTAAACTATTTTGCTAAGTCATGTGAAAAGTGGTATATAAATAGATGAATAATAATGTAACACAGTAATTATTAGTAGGGCTCTGCCAAAATTTTTCAGAAAAGACGTTTTTGACATTTTTAAAAAAACCTCTTTTTCTTTTTTAAAATGCTTTTTATTAAATTTGTCATTGGTTATTGATATACATATTCCAATTCCTATATACCGTATTTTTCACTTGATAAGACACACCAGACCACAAGACACACCTAGTTTTTGGAGGAGGAAAACAAGAGGAAAAAATTCTGAATCTCAGAAGCCAGAACAGCAAGAGGGATTGCTGCGCAGTGAAAGCAGCAATCCCTCTTGTTGTTCTGGCTTCTGGGATAGCTGTGCAGCCTGCAATCGCTCCATAAGATGCACACACATTTCCCCTTACTTTTTAGGAGGGAAAAAGTGAGTCTTATAGAGCAAAAAATATGATATATATATATATATATATATATATATATATATATATATACAGTATATATACAGTATATATATAAACCAGACAATATCCATATTTATTCACAAGTGATTTCTTCAAAATACTTGTTTGCAAGCTCCTCACAAACTGCTGGAGAATTTGACTCCTCCCCTGAAGGATATTTGGAGAAATAGCCTCCCCAATATTTTCACCCATGATTATTATTTTTTTGTGGATCAAGATTTTAAAATGTTTAATATTATCCTAAAGGCTCCTACTCCCTCTTCCCTAAAGGACACCTCTTTCTCTAGCCACCAATGTGAACTAACAATAGGATAATTTTCTGAGAAAACTGCATACCCCTAAGTGTCTCTGTTTTCCAGGGACAGTCCCGGATTACAGAAGCCTTCTCGGTTTCTGATTTGATCCTGGAATGTCCCACTTTTCACCAGAGAAATGTTGGAGGGTATGAAATGGTTGGAAAGTTCCAACTTTCCCCACCGAGAATTTTCAGCAAAATCCCTTGCCTCATTTCACCAGGCACAAAGGGCATGGTGAATTCAGGGGATCCATTTTCACTCAGTGAAACTTCTCACCATGTGGCCACCATGTCTCAAGTTATATTTTCAACATGCATGCATTGTGCTCTATAATACGGTTCTAAAACCAGAAACTGCCTTGGCCTCCACAGATCATTAACATGAGCATGCCTCAAACAGAACCTATGGAGTTATGGTCATGATTTGGTACACATGGCCTCAAGATGGCACCTCAAGCTTTGCAGTAAAGATGAGGGAAGGCCAGCAGTTAGCACATTTCGTCTTCAAACGAGAATTAACTAACGAGTAGAATATGTAGCTTTTGATTCAACCCACTTCTAGGAATACACTGGGTGGCAAATTTCAGCTGACTTCCTTCTCGCGGCTACGATTCTGAAGCAATACAAGGGTTAAATCTTGTCAAAATGTGACATTGACATAATGCTCTAGCTTTCCTACATCAGCTAGTGTCCACCTTCCCATATCGGGGACATACCTTCCAAAATTTCCCCAGTGAAAATAGGAACATCCTATTCCATAATAACAATGATTTTATTATTTATTACAGCTTACAGTTCCCAGTAACTTCCACATTGGCATGAGGCTGTGTGCACTAACACCTTCCTGATTCCACACATTCCACATTGCTTCACACATTAAACGCTCACTTCCGTCTGAGACTCAGGAAACACCGTGACAGGAAATGAGGCCGCCATCAGGGGTAGCAACGGAACTGATGATTCACCGTGCTAGAGAAGAAACTACAAATTTTAAATTTGTTAGTTATTTCTGCCATTAGATTCACAAAATGATTAGGGGTATGCGTACCCTTGCGTACCCCCGGGGGGGGGGGGAAGCACTTCGTAACATGAAGAACTGAACTTGAAAATGGAAAAATGAGAAACCGGGAGAAACCAAAATTTACAGAGTCCATCGTCCTTCCATGCTTTCCCCTCACCACCAAGCTCCTTTTTGTTAGGCTACTGTGATATCTCTCTGCTGGGGTGGAGAGGGATTTTTCTCAGCCTTTGGTTCTTTCCCTTCCACATGCAGATCATATTCTTCCATTTAATAAGCACATTATTAGGTGCAACATCTGACATTCACTCCTCTTCCCTTGCCCATATCATGCTCTTTTAGGGATATTTCATTCTTGTGTTATTGCCTTCCTCAGCACCACAGGGCATTTACAACACAAACACATTAGGAAAGCCCTATATCAGCTACCGAGGGCTCGGCTCTGTTGGACAAAATCAGTTCACATTAACAGTATTGAAGGCACGGGGTATTTAGTATGATTTTTGGCCTTGCGCCTGGAGTTGCAGCAAGCTCACAGCAACAAAACTGCCTTTGAAATTTTGCTGGTGCAAAGATGTCCGCTCAGGCAACTTAGGAAACTTTGGGATTCCCCACAGTTTATGGAAATTTTGTCTGCAATTCCATTGGTTATAAAAACAACAAATGGATTGCATTAGGTTCCATAACATTCCAGTTAAAATTCAACGATATTTTTTAATTCTTCGTTTCTCCTCTTCCTCAGATGGGGAAATGCAGAGCTTCTTTAGAAGAGATGAGTGATACTCTTTTTACATGTTGCTGTCTGTGTAATTTTTTAAAAAAAATAACCTATCTTGAGTGCCTTAAATGTATTGTGTAAGAGTAGCAACTCCTTGACATCTCATGGAACATCCTTCTCTTGGATATCAAGGAGATAAAGAACTACAGTGCTACCTTCGTTCTCAAACGTAACCCGTTCTGGAAGTCCATTTCAAAACCAAAGCATCCCAAAACAAAGGAACGCTTTCCTATAGAAAGCAATGCAAAACGGATTAATCCGTTCTAGATTTTTTAAAACAACAATTTAACATGAATTTTACTATCTAACAAGACCATTGATCCATAAAATGAAAGCAATAATCAATGTACTGTAATATAAAATAAATAAGACAGTATTGTAGATGATAAAAATTAAAATGAATTCTTTTTCTTACCTGAGCTGATGATAGTCATCGTCTGAATGGAGGGCTTTTATCCATTTCCGCAGTCACACAAACAAATGAACCAAAAAAGCCTCAAAAACAAAAACGCAACATAAATAGCAAAGACAAAAGTGCCAAACTTAATCCGTTCCGGAGGTCCGTTTGACTCCCAAAATGTTCAAAAATCAAGGCACAGCTTCTGATTGGTGCAGACGCCCCGGAAACAATAGCCAACAAGCGCATCAGACGTTCAGCTTCCGAAAAATGTTCAAAAACCGCCACACTTTCTTCCGAATTTTTGGCGTTTGAGAACCAAGGTACCACTGTACACAACTTTTAGAAGACATCTGAAGGCAGCCCTGTATCAGGAAGTTTTTAATGTTTGACATTTTATTATGTTTTTATATTTTGCTGGATGCTGCCCAAAGTGGCTGGAGACACCGAGCCAGATGGACGGGGTATAAATAATAAAATTGTTGTTGTTTTTGTTAGCTCAGGTCACCTTAAGGCAGGTCCCCAGTTCCTATCAGCCTCAGCCACCATGTCCAAACATTTGGATGGAACCTCGTTGGCTATGTTTGCTTTTTGATAAGGGTGACTATCTATGAGAGGAATGGATTCATTATGGACTGCAATAGCACTTCTACCTGTGCTGCTTCTTGCTGCTTTAGTTTTTTTTTTATAATTAATATTTATTAAGTTTTCAAAGAATAACAACAAAAATTTCCAAAAAAATTTGAAAATACAAAAAACAAAAATGATAAAGAAATAAAAAAGAAAACACCCAACCATAAAGAAAAAAAGAAAAAAAGAAAAACAAAAGTATAAATTCATTTACGATCTCTGTTAACTTCCTTTCTAGACTTCCTCCTCCTCCCCTCTCTTGTTTCTTAATTTTTAATTTTTACAGCAAATCCTTTCTGTTTTTTCATAACATTCTATCATTACATTTCCTTATTCTATTTTCCCTCTTGTCATATAAAAACTTTAAAACTCAAAGCTTATATTCAGTATTTACCAAATTCTTACATCATTACCTTTTGCAAATCATTTACCAATCATTACTTAAGCCATATAATTTCATTCAACATCTTTCAAACATTTATGAACGTTCCCAATATTGAAAAATAGAAAATAAAATAAAATAATAAGTCAGACACAATCCAGTCAACTTCCAGCGCCCTCCCCTGGACCCGGGATTGTCAGTCCTTTTAACCTCAATAGTCCGGCTCCTTAACCTGGTTGTCTCGTGTCCGAGGCCCTCAAATCTCTTTCTTGCCCCTTTCGCAGCTCTTCTTGATGTTTCCCTTTCAGTCGTGGGTACTCCAGCAGAAAGATACTTTTGACCCTTTGCAGCAAGTCCATCTCATGCCCATTGTCCAAGCCAGACAGCAGATAATACCACTTCAAGTTTCCTTGAAACTTGGAGGCTCCGACTACTCCAATCCTCTGATGGCCCATCACCAGACTCGGAAAGTCCAGATAACCATATAAAGGGGGGTCAATCCATCCCCCATTTCCAAATCTAACCACATTTCATCTTTCCGAATCTGATTTATCCCAAGTTCATTTATCAAGTTCAAAGGCTGATCCTGCCGGTCCAAAGGTCCCTCCATCTCTGAAGCCTCCATCACTACAGCAGGTTCATATACTTGTAGATATTTTAACTGAGTTCCATTTACTTGCTGCTGTGCTCTGGTAACTTCCGTCATCAAGGTCGTCTCCTGACGCATCTGGTCCAGCTGGGCACTTAGTTTTGAAAAACCTTCCAGGAACATTTGTTCAAGCCTTTGTACAAGCATTATCCTTCAAGGTCAAAGAAAATTCTTTCCCACGATTATAGTCCTTCACTTTTAAGCTCTCTGCGTTGCAGTTTCACTAAATCCCACTAGAGGGAAAACCTTTTTTTCCTTTTTTTTTTTTTATAAAGGAGAAAAACATCAGCAACAGTCTTTCTTTTCCAGATACACTTTATCCAAAGTTCCCCCTTCAAAATTCAAGAGGCAACAGTAGAGTCACAATGTTACCTTTCTTTTAACTATCTGTCGAGCTGGACAAGCTTCAAAACGTCAGTTCTGACAGCCCGCTCCTGGTTCAGGGCGGTGGAAAATTACTTTGTTTTAAACTCACTTCCGCAGGGTTAAAAGTCCAAAACAACCCCCTTCTTCTCCTGCAGTCAAAGGGGGGTTCAGAAATCTTAGATGTTGAATTCTAGTTCTCTCAGAATTTAATTTTCAAGCTTTAGTATATTTTGTCTTTGCTTTCTTCACGTAACAAAAGAACGGAAGGCTGACTTCCTGTTTAGACCTTCCGTTCCAAGTCCCAATTAAATTCAATTTCAAGTCCAATTTATTTATTTATTCACCAGTCTTAAAAGTAATTCAGCTCTTCCAAGATCAGGTACTCACGGATAGATGTTTTAGATGCCAAATTGTCCCAGGAAAAAGGCAGCGCTCTCCGGAAACGGCAGTGCGGCTTTGCTGCACGAAAGAAGCAGTCGACTCACAGCACCACGCACCTCCCACTCCGGAGCCCGTTACCGGGCTCCTGTACAAGGGGAGAGAGCGCTCACGGTGCCCGCTGAGTCCCACGTCCACAGGCTTCATCCGCCTGTGGGTTTTAAGGGTCCCCGCTGCGCCGTAGCGGTAGGACCCAAGCTTCCGTGCAGCGGGTTCCCTTCAACTTGAAGGGAATTCCGCCATTTTCCGGAGGCGCCACCCCGGAAGTCTTGCTTCTTGCTGCTTTAGAAATCACCCAGGCACAGAAGAAGAAGAAGAAGAAGAAGAAGAAGAAGAAGAAGAAGAAGAAGAAGAAATTGTGTTGGAAAAATTCATGACTGTCATTAGTTCCTCCAGCCACACAGATGAGTTGGTAGAAGGTAGCTGCTGCCAAAATCACAAGTTTAAAAGTGGATTTTCAAAACCAAAGGATAGATATCTGCAAATATATTTGCAGGAAGTAAAAAAAGCCAAAAAACACCCAATTTTTTCATGAAGGGCTGCTGAAGCGTTTATTAGAAAGGAATCTATTAGCAATATGGATCCCATGTCTTGTTTTGTTTTGTTTTGTTTTGTTTGTCTTGTCTATATGCTGAAGGAAAGAAAACATATGGCTCCAGTTCTGCCAACAGTTATACTTTAATATGAAAGAGAGAGAAAATTGGGGCATCTCATCTTCGTGGACTACCCCACTGGAATGTTCTTCAGTTTAATTTCCTTCCTTGCCAGCAATTCGTCCAACCTTCAAAGGATGTTTTTGCCCCAGTCCCCACAAATCTAAGCATAGTACCGTATTTTTTGCTCTATAAGACTCACTTTTTCCCTCCTAAAAAGTAAGGGGAAATGTGTGTGCGTCTTATGGAGCGAATGCAGGCTGCACAGCTATCCCAGAAGCCAGAACATCAAGAGGGATCGCTGCTTTCACTGTGCAGCGATCCCTCTTGCTGTTCTGGCTTCTGGGATTCAGAATATTTTTTTCTTGTTTTCCTCCTCCAAAAACTAGGTGCGTCTTATGGTCTGATGTGTCTTATAGAGCGAAAAATACGGTATTTCACTTCATCAGTAATTTGTACACTTTGAAATATTGGTGATTTTTAACTGATTGATGACTGTTGTGTTTTATACGAATTTGAACACTCGTTAAGAACAAAATTAGTTGTAGTATTTGGATTAACAGAAGCTATCTTGAATATTGTTATATTAGAAGATGGAGGGTAAACAAGAAAATATATAGGATGCACACTGAAAATTTCTAAAAACACGGTAAGCAGACACTCGGTTTTGCAAGCAAGTCTAACGCTTTTAAAACAAGCTTTGCACGGAAATAATTAACTCTTGTCAAGAATGTTATCTGTCAGATAGGTAGAAGGACAAAGGCTGATTTGGAGAGTAGAGTTTGCTGTGGTGTGAAAGGAGATCGTGATGGAAGAACTTTCTTCAACTTTTGACAGTGAGAACTGTTCTAACTCTACAATTCTATGATTCTATGAAAAAGTTGCAGGCTGCAAAGGTAGAGTAAGAGCCATGGAGGATTTCTGCTTGAATCCCAAACTGTGGCTATGGGAGAAACGAGATCTTTTTGGGGTGTTCATGTTGTGAACCCCACCATCATAGGCTCATATTATATGTGTGTGTGTAAATAAACCATTGTTATAAGAATTCTAAGGTCTCAATAATAAAATAAATATTCATAAATGTGCAAGGTAAGTATATAAACCATGTGCCTGAAATAGTACAGGAGAACCATCCTGAAGCCATTTCAACTCTCAGGTTGACCTCAAATGTTTCTCTGCAGGGAGAGGGCAGAGGTTTTCCAATTGTCTTTGGACGGTAGGGGCTTATACCTCCCTTTTCAAATGCAGTCTGGCAAGTGACTATTGCGCTGAGCACACTATCAATATGTGTAAGAGATTCAGGAACTAAATATTTACCATCTCAAAGGAATGACCAGGCTACCCAGAAAATGCAATCAAGTAAGGCATTATCAAGTAAACGGGAAGGTAAACGGCGTTTCTGCATGCTGCTCTGGTTCGCCAGAAGCGGCTTAGTCATGCTGGCCACATGACCCGAAAGCTGTATGCCGGCTCCCTCGGCCAATAAAGCGAGATGAGCATCGCAACCCCAGAGTCGGCCATGACTGGACCTAATGGTCAGGGGTCCCTTTACCCTTTACCTTTAAGGCATTATCAAGTATCCTGGCAGACAGGAGAGAACCAACATCCCCAAATTTCTGCTGGAGACCGCCTCCTTCTGTGATGTATGTATGATATTTTTTGGGGGGTCTTGGGCTACAGGGTGGGCAATTTCAAAAGTCTATACAAGGGCTTCTGCACCTTTGATCAGGGTTCTCCTGCCTCCTGCGTGTGGTGAGTGGATACCATGTTGCAACAGTTTATTTTCCTTTAATAAAGACCAGGCTTACTAATCGCTTTGCTTCTCAATATATTCTGGTTTGGTCTCTGTTATTTTCTCCTACCGACAGGGAACCCACTTAAGGACTCTGTACGGGCTCTGGAATACCCCACAAGGGAAAAGGATCAGGGTTTTCCCCCTTATAAAACCATATATCATAAAGACACCACAGTCTCCACTGTGCCTCATTTCCAAAAGGAAGCATGAATCCTGGGTGAGCACCAGGAGATAGCTATTATGTATGTTTTCCCCAATGTAGAAAAAAGAAGTAAACTACTTGTGGTACTTGATTTTGCAAAAATAATCTGGGTAGGGCCTGTTGCTTGATTTTCTGAACCTACCCCACTATCAAGCCTCGTTTTCTGAACGGCAGCGACTCCTTGGTTTTTCCAGATAGTCAATTTTAGGTCCACCTCCCCTTCTGCAGAATAACTTCTCCTTCACCACATCTCACTCCTCTTTCTCTCACCTGCAGGCAGTTCACAGATTGCCATCACAGCTGACCTTTTCCACTCAAGTTTTTCTTGTTGGACACAAATAGTATCACTTGCGGCTGTTATAGGCAGTGCGAGGACTTTGAGAGACAAGTTTCCATGACTACCCTTATGTTCAGTGGTGCCAAGTAAATGTTGTTAGTCTGCAGCTACTTATAAATCCCGAGTTTTTCCACATACCTTGTGGTGATGTGTTTCCAGAACTCCAAAGAGTCCATTGTTAGACTGATGTCATTCATTAATTAGGCGGGTGTCCTGTTGCGCCAGAACACCGCATGCTGGTCACATGACCTGGAAAGCTGTCTGTGGACAAACGCCGGCCCCCTCGGCATGAAAGCGAGATGAGCGCCACAACCCCATAGTCGCCTTTGACTGGACTTAACTGCCAAGGGGTCCTTTACCCTTTTTTATTTCATACCACACAAAAGTTCCCTGGGCAGCGTTTCCCAATTTCTGCTGTTTCTGTGCTGCATGTGAAACAAGCCGAAATCTGGCTTGTTTTGTTGTCTGAACCCAGACAGAGGGCAGGGATGGAAAGGAAGGGGGAGCAGAGCAAGACACAAGGAGTCTGCATTTTTTAAAAAATGCTTTGTGCACCCTCTTGCCCCTTTCTAAAATTTATTTATTGGCCTGTGCTTTTCTTTTTGTAAATCTACCAAAGAATAGAACAGAACAGAACGGAATGGAATGGAATGGAATAGAATAGAATAGAATAGAATAGAATAGACTAGAATAGAATAGAACAGAATAGAATAGGGAGTAAGGGGTTTTCTCAGAACGGTGGAGAGCATGTGTGCTGTGTTTCATTGGTGAAGTGGTAGTGGCATTTACCCTTCTTCTGATAGGAAATGTGCTGGGGTGGGGGGTGGGGCAACCAATAATGGGAGGGTCTATGGGGGGGTGGAGTGAGAAATGTCCCTATTTTCATCTGAGGAATGTTGGAGGGTATGCTGCTTTAATAGGAAACTGTTTGGAGGTCCCGAGCCTCAAGGAGGCTTGATTGGTTTCAACTAGGGCCAGGGCCTTTTCAGTACTGGCCCCGACTTGGTAGAACCCTCTGTCACAAGAGACCAGGGCCCTGCGGGACTTGACATCTTTCCGCAGGGCCTGCAAGACAGAGTTGTTCCGCCTGGCCTTTGGTTTTGGACTCAGTCTGACCCTTATGTTTCCCTCCCCTTATGGTCTTGATTTATCGGCTATTTTAAGGCTGCATTTTAAATTGCATTTAAACCTGTATTTTAAATTGGTCCCCCCCCCATTATGTTTTTACTGTGATTTTATTGGTGTTAGCCGCCCTGAGCCCAGCTCTGGCTGGGGAGGGCAGGGTATAAATAAATTATTATTATTATTATTATTATTATTATTATTATTATTATTATTATATTTAGAAACATTTTTTTTTCCTGGAAGCAAGTAACATGGACATAAGTGCTAAACTTGTGCTATACTCCTGGACGTGACTTTTACATCATGCGAAAGTTCAGATACAACGCAGAAACATCAGGGAAACGGAATAAACTTCTGTGCGAATGCAGCCTTTGTTTTGGCAGCGATCTCGTCCACCCATCCTGTTAAACCATGTCTTAAACGAACTTTAGTTAATAAACTGTGGCTCAGTGTTACATTTCAATCCAGGACAGTTACCTAACTGTGGTTTGATCACAAAAAGAAGCCAGTATCATGTGGTGGGATCTGATCTTTTAAGATGATTGTCAGTTTTTCACACAATTTAACCAGTTGCTGATGTAAATTATTTAATAGGTAATAAATAAATAAATAAATAAATAAATAAATAAATAAATAAATAAGGGAGCTTTCACCAGTAAAGCACACCCTTTCTTGAAAAACCACAGTGTGCATTTTAAGGAGCCAAAACTGCTTAGAAAGATCCTGAGTCTGAGAAAGGCGAAGGTTATATTATCCTTGCAGCAAGGAGAGTGCTGAACTAAAGATGACTAATTTCGCTAGATTTGTCCCATCAAGTTCTCAGGAAGCCATGATTGTCACCGTTTAGGATTATTGTTATTCCTCTCCTGATTTAAAAACTGATCTGCCCTCAATCTCATAGAAGACTTGACCTTTTCCCTCCATCTCTTTTCAAAGACAGGCCAAATGACTTTGGGTTTTCTTTCGTTCGTTGTGTCTTACAGCAGTACACGCCAAGCACGCCGAAATAATTCACTTGGCCATCACTGTTGTAGATAATATTCATACCAATAATGAGTCTTGACAATCCAGAGGGAGGCTCTCATGCGAGATGAAATAGCTAAAGTGGTTCCGTGAAATATTGCTTCCAAAGGAGAGCCTGAATGTCAATATATAGATACACACGTCCATATAGGCATTGTGCTGTGCCAGACGAAGCTCAAAAACATTTTGTTTGTGCTGACTAAATCTCTCTCTCTCGACAAATGGGATCTGCAACAAAGTGTTGCAGCGTGGAATGCTCACTGTTCAAAGATTCCAACCACACCATTCCATCCCAATGCCTTCCTACTGTATTGGCCCGAATATAAGGTGCACTTATATTTTTCCAAATTCCGACTGTGAAAAGTTAAAATGCGGCTTCTATTCGGAGCTGAGCACTGGCACCGGCACCGGCTTGGGGAATGGGGCGCCAAATGCTGTCACCGAACACCCCCCGTCCCCCATGGTAGTGCCGGGAGGCGGGCCGCATCCTCAAATAAGCCTTGAATTTTAAAGGTGTGGCTTATTTGTGGGTGCGGCTTATAGTCGAGCCAATATGGTACTTTTCTGTGCCCCCCAAACTATCAGTCTGCATTTTATGGCCACTGCATAGGCTCTCAGTGCTCATGAGGTTGTTTTTTTGGGGGAACCCCCTCCCCCCCACACACATCATGGGCTGTTCCAAAATACTTCTTCGTACTTGTGTACTCCTATGGGTGCTGTTGCTTTTGGTTCCATAAACACACACATAGGAGGGACATTAGAAATATAGGGGATAAGAACTTCTATCCAACTTGTATCCAATGCTAGCTCTAATCAGAACAGAGTTAATTGACATCCCAGTGGTACCTCGGGTTACAGATGCTTCAGGTTACAGACGCTTCAGGTTACAGACTCTGTGAACCCAGGAATAGTACCTCGGGTTAAGAACTTTGCTTCAGGATGAGAACAGAAATCGCGTGGCGGCAGCAGCGGGAGGCCCCATTAGCTAAAGTGGTGCTTCAGGTTAAGAACAGTTTCAGGTTAAGAATGGACCTCCAGAACGAATTAAGTTCTTAACCCGAGGTACCACTGTACAGTCATACCTTGGAAGTTGAATGGAATCCGTTCCGGAAGTCGGTTCGACTTCCAAAACATTCAGAAACCAAAGCATGGCTTCCGATTGGCTGCTGAAGCCCCGTTGGACGTTCGGGTTCCAAAGAACGTTCGCAAACTGAAACACTCATTTCCAGGTTAGCGGTGTTTGGGAGCCAAGGTTCAGGATCCAAGGTACGACATTATTATTATTATTATTATTATTATTACTTCTCCTGGGACCATATTGATTGCTTGCTTTGTGGCTACAGGCTGAAAGCTTGTACAAAAACCTCAGGTTTTCGATTGCTTTTCAGCAACCAGATTAAAACTGATATGATAGTAGTAAATCCGTAAGGTGCCGAACGAGGTATCATCTTTGTTATGTATGTACTGAAGTTCTCACGCTGGGCCAGCAGGGGGATACTGTAGATAGTTTTCACTCAGGTCCGCATATGCAAATAAGGAATTGAAAGTGACGTTCAGTGATTGGATAGTTACAGAAAGTTTTTACTGTTGCTTTGTAGTTGAGCTCTATATAAGCAGGTTGGCTGAACCCTTCAGTTCAGTTCTGTTCTGGCCTGTGAATAAACAAGAGCCGTCTGAAGAATCGCTGTGTCGTCTGATATGTTCACCCACAACTTAACAATCTTTGTTGGGTTTTTGTGTTGAATATTGTCACGAGCCTCAAGACCTTGGGCTGGGTTCATAAAAGCAGGGAGTTCTGTTACTGTTCAAATAATACGAAGGTTGTCTGAGGCACCGAAGGGTGGGTTTACATTTGAATTAAACGCCTCAGAGTGGTTTCAGAAAAGAGAAAGCCAGGTTGGTCATTAACATTGAACTGTAATTTGTTTTCCCTCCCCCCCCCTTAGTGTTATTTTTAATGAGTTCAAGACTGAGCTGACTCACCTTGCAGATGCCGCTGCGGCTGAGGATGACTCCACATTCTCAAAAGACTTGAAAGCATGCAGAAGAGAAACCAACCCAACTCTCAGCTTTCTGCATGTACCAACAGAATTGGGAGAAAACACACAGATATATCCCTATTCGTCCTTAGGCTGATGTGGTCTTTTCAGTTGTACTCTGATCTGCTAGTGTGTTCTTAGTATCTATCCCAGAACGATTGGGTCTGTGAATTTGGCTCAACAATATTGGGGTTTTTTTGGCTTTAAACGTCTGTCTCTCTCTCTCTCTCTCTCTCTTTTTGGATAACATTTTATTGATTTTCCAAATATAACAAAACCGGGGGGGGGGGGGACAGAAAGGGGAAAAAATTGTAACCAAATTAAACCATAATTTTTTGGTCGACTTTCCTCTACTCCCTCTCTTGGTTCCATTATAATATACTTGTTCATGCACGTCCATAAAACCTTATAAACTTAACAATCTTCGTCGCGAGATGGCACCTATAAGTCACCGGAAAGCTTCCTTCCAGCTCAGTTGAAATCAGTGTGCTTTGTGGCATACCTGACACTGCAAGCCAATGCCTGTCTGCTCAGAAGCAGGTCTCACTCAGTTCTGTGGGGCTTACTCCCGGGTGAGTGGATACAGAATTGCTGCCTCCAAACACATCTCACTGGGATGAAGCTGTACAGTGTCCGAGGTGTCCAAACCACGGAACAATTCCCATGGAAAAATACTCAAAGGGAAAGCCGCGAATCTGAAAATGCTGATCTATTAATAGCGCCTGAGCTGCTGCATACGCCTTCCTTCCTGATGGAATCCATTATTGCGGCTTATTGATCAAAGTGCATGCTTTTGAGAGCACAGATGTGAGTAACTGATTATCTCCTTTTCAACACTATTCCTTCAAGAAGGAAGAATATATAAGAGCTGAGTTCACCCCTGATGTAACTCCAGCTGACACCAGGGAGCTTCTGCCTGGAAATTAGATTCATCCAGTAGGCCTAGATTGGATGCAGATTGTTATGTGTGAATATGTGATGCAAAGTATACTAAATTGGGGTCATTAAAACTACAGCGACAAAACAGGCTACTAATGGGCGACTCTATTATGATGCCATTAAGGTCCTTGCCAGGATTACTGTGGCTTCAATAGCAGTTCTGTACGGTATTCTCATTTGCTGGATTTAAAAACACGGCACACCATGCTTTTCTTGAATTGACGGAAGAGAGGATAGCATGGTCAGAGTTTGTCTCTCTCTCCTGCGGGTGCTTTTCTTCATCCAGACTTGGGCAAAGGGAGCTCACTCACTTACTGATCGCTTACAAAGAGCACCCCAGGGGCCACGAGAACGGCAGATACAAAATACTTAGGGAAGAAATGAAGAACAAACACCACACACGGGCATTATAGGTTAACACAGTCATTTATTTCACCTGCACCTTTGGGTTAGAAAATCTGTCAACTACAATGCGACTACAAAAGGCTTTAGGCAATATCTGATAAACCTCAACGGCAAATTTCACAGGGTGAAATGAGCAGGAGTGCTACAGGAGAGCAGGAGAGGGAGGAGCCTGGCGTGATTAAATAATACAGTCATATCAGGGAAGTCGAACAGAATCCATTCCGGAAGTCCATTCGACTTCCAAAACGTTCAGAAACCAAAGCGTGGGTTCTGATTGGCTGCAGTAAGCTCCTGCAGCAAATCAGAAGCCGTGGAAGCCCCGTCGGACGTTCAGCTTCCAAAAGAACATTTGAAAACCGGAACAGTCACTTCCAGGTTTCGATCGCTCGGGAGCCAAAATGTTCGAGAACTAGGCTGTTCGAAAACCAAGGTATGACTGTATAGTGAAAATGCAGGTCCAAAGGTCCCCCCTTCGGCATCTGAGCCTTTAATAGATACTTCATAGATATGATTTTTTTAAAGAAGATTCCCATCCTTCCCAAAAACAATTTTAAAAAAACCAAAGGTCAGTTCTGTGGAAATTAACTTCAGATTTAATTTGTATGGGTTCACTGGATGCATTCCACCTTTTGTGTTTATATTTTAAATTACGTTCCTTAAAAAAAAATAAATTACAATTCTTCCTTTTTGAAAATAAAATGCCAAATTTACGCCAGAAAAATTGCCCTCAGTTTTGTAGTAACTCACCTGAATGTGTCTCTGAATCAGTATCTGAGCTACAGCTTCAAAGTGCTGAATATGAACCTTTTTCTTTAGAAAAACCTAGGCCTGCCTTTTACATTTTGTGCCGCCCTTCTCTCCTCCTTCCTAGCTGTGGAAAGTTTACGTCTCCAGTACAAGAGCGAGCTGCGCCTTGTGCCCTGCGCCAAGGCAACCTTCCTTGCTCGACTGTTCGACAGCTGACCTATGCTTTGCCTAGCCTTGGCGAGCCAGGGGCCTCTCGCGGACAGAGCGGCGTTTGTCTCAGAAGCATGTTGGACTTGGCACATACCTGAGATTCAATTCCAGTTTCAACTACCACCTTTCAGGAGCGGTATAAAAGAGACAGAAACTGCATCTGAGGAGGAAAAACAAGCCAGCCTCCATAGCCGAAAAAAGCCGTCGCAAGCAACGCTTGTTTATACACCGGACAAAAGTGCCTTTGCTGCCTTGAACACTACTCTGGTTGTAAATCTTTTGTAGAAATATATATGTATCAATGGACAAAGTGTTACAGTATTCTGAACGAAGCAGGGCTGCCTGAGCTAAAATATAGGTATGTATGTCACCTTTAATAATCAAACACACCACAAAATGTCCCGTCTGTTTTATAGGCAGGTTAACTGTACAATGTGGTCGTCTCTTTCACAGCCCAGCACTTTCCTCCTGTGGATCCATCACTTCTCTTGAAGCGCAACAAAGCTGATATTTAGGCGATGCTTTTCTTTAGGGACGCGGTTGTTCCAACTCAAGTTCTCCCCGCAGCTTTTCGACAAAAAAGACAGCCGGGCTTTTGCAGGAGCTCTTTAGAGCAGACTGAATGTGCATAAATCAGATGTTGGTTGTCTCCCTTCAGCTCCCTATGTGACCTCACAAACACCCATACAAGGAAGCTGTTTTTCTGCAAAGAGGTGGACCGCGGCTTCAGGCAACCGCGGTCATGAATCCTGGTGGGCCTCTCGGGTCAGGAGTCTGTGTGTGGTTCTGCAGGAGAGAATGTGTGCCATGTGCCCCAGCAGAGATGGTCTTCAGGGCATGCCATGAAAGGTGTCTGTACACTGTTTTTCACTGTGCCAATATAACCAGCAAGGTAGTTATGGGGCAGCAATAGGGTGCTGTGTCCCATCAATTCTAACAAAAAATTAAGCTGGAGGAATTGAGGTACAACCAAGCAACCAAGAAAGAAAGAATAATATAATATGACAATAATTTATTATTTATACCCCGCTCATTTTGCTGAGTTTCCCCAGCCACTCTGGGCGGCTCCCAATTGAGTGTTAAAAACAATACAGCATTAAATATTAAAAACTTCCCTAATGAACAATGAAAGCACAGCATACCCTTCAACATTTCCCCAATAAAATAGGGGTGCCCTATTACATTAATAACAACAACTTCCCCAATGAAAACAGGGATGTCCTATTCCATTATTATTATTATTATTATTACCCCACTCATTTGGCCGAGTTGCCCCAGCCACTCTGGGCAGCTTCTGACATATATAAAAACATAATAATACATTAAATATTCAGAAACTTCCTTACACAGGGCTGCCTTCGGATGTCTTCTAAAGGTTTTATCTTATTGGCTTGAGGGGTTGCATAACTCCATACCGTCCAATATTTCTCCGATAAAAATGGGGATGTCAAAGGCTTGATTACTTAGTTCCTCCCAAAGTGAGGGGAAGTGGACATGGCTAAGCCTGGCAGGACAGCTTACTCTGTGGTATTAACCCCTTCATGCATTAATTAGACTTCAGCATGTCGGCTATCTGAGGCTGGCTATCCCACAAGTTCTACAATTTCTACGTGAAGAAGTGCTTTCTGTCTTGAATCTTCCATATTCAGCTTCATTGGCTGGTCCCAGGCTCTAGCGTTAAAAGGGAGTGAGAAAAACTACTCCTTATCCACTTTTCCTAAACATGGATATCAACTGACCCAGACCCTGCAATCATCATTTGAGGCCCTTCTTCATGTGTCTCCTCCATCGGAGGTCCAGAGGGTGGCAACACGAGAAAGGGTCTTTTCTGAGGTGGCTCCCTGTTGTGCCTTTATTACATATCTTCAGGTGCCAGGCAAAAACATCCCTTTTCTCCAAGGCCTTTTAAACTTGGGGGTGGGGAATTATTGTTTTTGTTTATTACTAAAAAATAATGTATTTTTGTGTTTTTATATTGCAAACCGCCCTGTGATCCTGAGATGAAGGGTGGTATAATTTTAATAATAATAATAATAATAATAATAATAATAATAATAATACAGTGGTACCTCGGTTTTTGAACAGCTTAGTTCCCGAAACAACTTGGAACTCGAATGCTGCAAACCCAGAAGTCAGTGTTCCAGTTTGTGAACTTTGCTTCGAAAGCCGAACGTGCTCCATTTTGAGTCCTGAACTTCCGCTTTTACTGTTGCACTGCTAATTTGCGTCCCCCCATTGTAACTGAAGTCTTCCATTTCTGATTGCAGTGGTCTGAGGTGATAACTGGAGCTTATATTTTGTTTTTGCTATTCATTTTGTGTTTTTTGTTTTTGAGGCTTTTTCGGTTAATTTGTTTTTGTGACTGTGTGGAACCCAGTTCAGCTACTGATTGATTGATGACTGTAGAAATGGATAAAGCGTGTTCTCCCTAACAGAGAGCACGTGTTGCGGTTGGGGGAACAAGCCACCCTGCCGTTACTGGGCAGATTTGGTGAGGAACCCAAGCCTTTAAGTGGTTAAAATTGGGTTGCTGGGGAGTTTTGATTGTTGCCAATTTGGAGGAGGGGTTAGAGTCTTTAAATACAGGGGCCAGACGTTGGACGTCCTCTTGGCCGTTTTGCACCGGATCACCCGCCCTCCCTCCCTTTAATAGGGTGGTTTTTTCTTGATCGCTTGACCTTGCTATGCCTGTCATGGGGTCGTCCGCCTTGGAGCGGGGGCCTGGTAGGAATTTTGCCATCTGGCTGATTGGCTGGTGCCATTTGGTTTTTGCCTACTGCGTAGCAAATCGTCACAACTTGTGAGGTTGGCGGTTAGGCATTGGTTAAATTGGTGCTTGGAGGGTAAGTGCCTATCCCTCCAAATGATGCGGAAAGGAATTCCGTTAAAGGAATCCAGGGGCTTGCCATTCTTTTCGTCCTTGTCCGTGGCGTCGGACTTGGGCCGTGCAAGCCCCACAGGAACATGAGGGTGAGAAGTGAGGGTCTGAGGCCCAGCTTCATTTCTCACCCAATACTTGTTTCCCACGCTGGCTTCCGTTGGTGTCCGGAAGGCCAGCTCTGTCCCTGAGGGCAAGGACAGATAGTCGTAACCAATGCCTAAGCAACCACTCACATTTTTTGTATTTTGAATAAAGTTGTGGCCAAAATTATGCCAAAAACCTTAACCAAAAATGGATGTGTGAAGTGTGAATTTTTTTGGGGGGTGGCATTGTGGGACTCAACACGCAAAAGCCTCTCATCCAAACAATCACTATCATCAGTGCAGGTAAGGGGGAAAAAATTAATTTTTATCATCTACAATACTGTCTTAATTATTTTATAGTACAGTACATTGATTATTGCTTTCATTGTATGGATCAATGGTCTCGTTAGATAGTAAAATTCATGTTAAATTTCTGTTTTAGGGATTGTTTTTAAGAGTCTGGAACGGATTAATCTGTTTTGCATTACTTTCTATGGGAAAGCGTGCCTTGGTTTTGGAATGGTTTGGTTTTGGAAGGGACTTCCGGAACAGATTAAGTTTGAGAATCAAGGTACCACTGTAATAATAATACTTACCTCCACTTGCCTGGCAAGAACTATAAACAGTAGATGGCCAGATATCTTATACAGTGGTACCTCGGGTTACATATGCTTTAGGTTACATACGCTTCAGGTTATAGACTCCGCTAACGCAGAAATAGTGCTTCAGGTTAAGAACTTTGCTTCAGGATGAGAACAGAAATCGTGCTCTGGCGGCGCGGCAGCAGCAGGAGGCCCCATTAGCTAAAGTGGTGCTTCAGGTTAAGAACAGTTTCAGATTAAGAACGGACCTCCAGAACGAATTAAGTACTTAACCCAAGGTACCACCGAACAGTAGTTTTGTAACAGAAAATACACCTCCAAAGAGCTGTGAGAAAGAGCTATGAAAGACCGTCTCTTTCACCAAGTTTCTCTTGCAAATTAAACTCTAGAATCCTTGCTTGAGAATATGTAAAACTTTTAAAGGATTTCAAACCCATAATATACCCATTAGCATGAAATACAGGAAGGAGGATGTGATATTTTCTTGTACACTCCTCTCTGGACAATCTTGTACCATATTTTCCAGTTGGGAGGAAAAAATGCTTCATTTTTGCTTTGGCAAGATGCCTGGATATGGGTATTTTAAAGTTTTTGAAACAAGGATGTGGAATAATTAGGGCTCTGATTTTTCCTGATTTGGCAGAGCATGGGAGAGTTTATATTTCTACTCTGAAATGGTCTAACCGTTCTGCCTTTCCTCCTTGTACTGAGAGCAATAAGGGCAAACAAGGCTACAAGAATGGTGAGTGAATGGGAAAAATTTTAAAGACAAGAAAGAGAGAATTTGGAGCAGGGAGAGAGAAAAACAGAAGAGGCAAAGCAGAAACAACCTGGCTGAAAGTAACAAAAAACAAGAGTGAAAAATGTGAATTTGGAAAACAGTGGATGAAATTTGTTAGACATCATGAGCAAATTCCGCTTTTAATGAACCTCAGGATATTTCTTGAGGCGGTGTCTAAGAATGCCCAGTTATTTGGGAATTTTTATACCACATTTAGTTCAAGGAACAGAGATTCTAAAAAAGACTTCTGAAGTGGACACGAACATGAGGCAACACAGAACAAAGTACATTTGCTTTCTGGCAGATGAAGCTGATGGACTACATGGAACTGGCGGAAATGACTGGCAGAATCCGAGACCAGGGAGAAGAGTCGGTGGAAGAAGATTGGAAAAAATTTAAAGTATATTTACAAAAATATAGTAAAATTAATGAATGTTAGAAGGATGCAGGAATGAAGCTACATGGTTTTAGCAGAAATGTTATAAAGAATTAAGTAAAAACAGATTGTTTATGGACCAAAGTGGAAAATTTAAGGTTAGAGTGTCTTAAGTTAAATTTTAGAACGAAAATTGAGAAAGATGGAAAGGACTTGCTGAAATAGCTAATTGAACTAGAATACAAAAAAGGGAGGTGTGAGGAGGTCGATGAAACAAGTATAT